GTAGATCTTAAAAATTCATTGTTGTTTATATATCAAGATATATGGCAAAAGAAACTACTGCTTCGATATGGTAACGAGCTTGCCTTCCTTGATGCTACATACCGAACAACAAGATATGCACTGCCTCTCTTTTTCCTTGTTGTTAAAACTAACATTGATTACCAAATTGTGGCTATTTTTGTGTGTGAGCATGAGACCACTGAAGCCATAACAGAAGCACTTATGTGCATCAAAGAATGGAATCCTTCATTCCAGCCAAAGTTCTTTTGTACTGATTATTCAAATGAAGAAATAAATTCACTTGAATCTGTGTTTCCAGGTTATAATTGTAATTGTTAGTTACCTTTTTTATATATATATAATATATATGATTTTTTTGAAACAAGCTTGGGTATGCTTAAGTTAAAAGATTTAAGAGGCTCATAAACATGTTTAAGCCTAAGCATGTAAAAATATAAGAAATTAAAATATAAAGAAATATAAAAAAAATAAAAAAAAAATATAAGAATATTTCAATACTTAAAAAAAACAGGTGTGTGTCTTGCTTACAAGACATACTTGTAAGCAAGACATATGAAAAGCTTGTTTCAAGCCTGTTTCTTGCCAAAAAGAAAAATAAAGTTATTCTATTATAATACACATATATAGACTCAATGCATGAATACAGATTTTGCTTTGTATCACAGAAAACATTAAATGGTTTTCATTCATTTAAAACTTTCAGCATCTTTTTTTAAAAATCGAAGTCTTTGTAAGCTTATAAGCGTTATAGCCTTGAAGAAATATATACAGTGGTAGCAAATGAATTTTTGTAATTTAATTACGATAAACTCTCTTTTTAAATTAAGTATTTTGAAATGATTTATCGCCATTGTTTGTAATTTGTAATTGTTTATATAGTTTAAATATGGTAATTTGTCTTAGGCTGTAAAGTGTTTATTTGTGATTTTCATCGCGAACAAGCATGGGAACGATGGCTGTCTAAAACAACTAATGGGTGTAGCATGATAAAGGATGACATTAAAGTTAGGCTTCGTGACATTGCACATGCGAAAACAGTAGAGGGTTGCCAAAAAGCTGTTGAGAATTTAGAGGAATCACTAGAATGGCAAAATAACCCAAAACTTGTAGAATATTTGAAAAGTACTTGGTTATGTATTCAAAAGGTTGTTTTTAAATAACAAAAACAAAAAAAAATTTATACTCAAAAAAGTTGATGTAACGTTATTGAAAAAATTTTTCTATTGTAATTTTTGGGTATTACCTTTTTAAGGTAATACCCAAAAATTTGGGTATAACTTTATTTTTTTATTTATATTACTGAAGTGTTTACAAACATTTTTTCGATTTCAGAGATGGGTATTTGCTTATAGACTAGATCGAATTCTGCTGAATGTCAACACCAATAATGGAACTGAAAGACAGAATCAATCTTTCAAATACAGTTTTTTGGAAAAAAGAAAGAATTCTTCACTAACAGCTATGCTCAGTATTTGTATAGAAGAATTTCTTCCGCACAAATATGACAAGTTAGTTTATACATTAACTACTTTTTGTTTTTTCAGTACAAATAACTTTTATTTTATTTTTTAAGACATTATTGTTATTCTAACAATATTTCCTCCGATGGTTTCTATTGTGAAATTTTATTTTAGCTCATTCTGTTTACCTATTATAAAACTAATTTCCTAGGTTTTTAATTCGAATATTTAAATATTAAAAACATATAATTTTTTGAAAGCATTTTCATAACTTTCTTGCAATAAAAGATTGTTAAATTATAAATCTGTTGATGAATTTGAATTTATTACAAAAATGTTGAAAATTTATCACTTTGACTACATAATTTTTATATAATATATCTAGCAGTAATAAATTGTTTCACATAAACAAATTTTAAAAACATGGTGAATAGAATCTGACTTCAGTACTGTATGTTTGTCCATTTACCTGGTAAATAAAACTTTAAAAATAATAACTTACAAACAAACATATTTTCTTTAATGCCTGAAGGTTGTCTAAATGTCACTAATAAAAGGATTTGTAGATTATCTACATTTCAATTGATTTATTTTTAGTTATTGTGATGATAATAGAAGAGCACATGCCTCATATAAGAAATACCATGATGAAATTCCAGCTTATTTGATTAATCGGCCACCATCTTTAGTTAAGCATTGTATGAAATTAATAGATAAATTACAAGGTGTAGATTTGCGGGGCATTAGTGCTATGACAGACAAATTATACAACGTTGCTTCTTTCAATTCAAATAGTCGAGAAATATACCAATGTTACCTTGGCGATTCAGAACACTTGCCAACTTGTTCATGTCCTAATTGGTTTCGCAGCTTATATCCTTGTAAGCATTTCTTTGCCATTTTTATTAAAGATAATCTCACATGGTCTGCATTTGGAACATCCTATGCAAATTCTCCTTATTTCATGCTGGATTTATTGTCAGATGAAATTATTTTAGCACAATCCAATGACATTTTGTTACAAGATATTCATTTTGGGCATACAACAACATTTACTGACTTGCCTATATCTCCACTTTCTAAACAGAATGTAATGGAAACAAAAAGTATTCATTGCTCACAAGTAAATAGTAGTTATAATCTTATTGGTGAGAACCATACATCTGCAACTTGTCGTGAGCTTTTAGGTGAAATTAGACAAATGAGTTATTTATGTCAATCGCAACAAGCGATTGATAATTTGTTGGAAGGGCTATGTCAACTTAAAAAAAGTTTAGCAGACAGTCTTCCAACAGAAAGAGGAATTCTGCTGCGCCCTGAGATTCAACCTGATACTTGGAGTAGGTCACTAACTAATACACCTAAGCTTAGCCATCTCCCTATACGCCGCAAAAGAAAAATGACTAAAAGAGTTGGAGTTAAATACGACATTTGTAAAACAGCCACAGACATTAGTGTAATAGCTAAAAATGATACTACATTTTCTGAGATTGTCACAAATGATTTGATTGATTTTGACAATTGTGATACTTTTACTGTTTCTAATAATGCAACTGAAATAAATACCTTTCAACCGATGATAGTAATCACTTGCATGGCGCCGACATAATCAAAGATGATAAACTAGAAACCATTCAAAGTCTAAAGTCTTCATTGATTGGAAGTAGAGAACAGTATGACATTTCAAACGGGCAGATGCTTAATGATAAGGTGATTCATTTTTGCCAGCAACTTATGTCACTTCAGTTAAATATTGATGTTGGTCTGCAAGATCCTATTAAAGGACAAGTGTTATCTTTCCATATCTATCCAAGCACGCCATTTGTCCAAATTCTTCATGATGGAAATCTTCACTGGCTATGTGTGACCACATATGATTGCAAACCAGGGGAGATATATATATTTGACAGCCTTTTCCATGGTTCCATCAGCTTGCAGATAAAAAGGCAAATATGCTCCATTTTACATTGTCAACAAAAAAATCTTATTTTCAAAGTTTTGCCAGTTCAACAGCAAACAAATGGTGTGGATTGTGGAATTTATGCCATTGCATGGGCTCGTCAGATTCTTGAAACAAAAAGTATACCATCAACAAATCTGATGTTTGATCAAAGTGAAATGAGAAGTCATCTCCTGAAATGTATATCAAACAACAGGATGGAGATATTTCCAGCCACTAAAAATCCTTTTTTGTTTAAAAGATGTAATGCTAAGACTTTTCGCGTTCCACTGCATTGCTCATGTCGCATGTTTTGGATACCTGGAGACGAAGACATATTTAACAGGTATATTTTCACAATTACTAATGAGTTTAGTTCATAAATAAACATTTACAAATGCAATGTTTCAATTGATATCTTGAGTTTTTTATGTTGTAGATGGAAATGTATTTAATTTTTTAAGGCAAATGGCACAATGCTGTGTTTGTAGTAAATGGTTTCATCGTGATTGTGAACAAATTCCACCAAGTGCCTATGAAAAGGAAGACGAAATTTGGATTTGTCATGATTGCCAGAACCGATCAAAATATTAGTAGGGAAAATTTTTATAATACTGTTCTACAGCACAAGTAAATAATTTTTTTTTATTACTAACTACAACTGCTGTACAGTTACGTTTCACTTTCAAATATCATTTACATTTGTTCAATATTAGAAAATTCAATAAAATTGTTCAATTTTAAACTTAACCAGTCTATACTAACATTAATAAAAAATTCAACTTAATAAGAATGGATAGAGTGGTTATAAACAATAAATAACCGTAATTTTGTCATTTGTAATCTTGTTTTATATACATTTTATTTATTTGTTATGTACACACTTCTCAAAAAGAGCCTACTATGCAACATACCTACAAATTTCTATGCGTTAAATGCGTTGCTGATAAAGTAGTACCAACAATGGTATTGCACAAAACCAATTTTACTTGAAAAAGTAAAATTTGCAAATCCTACCCAATATTCTATAGCAGGTAAATTAGATTAACTATTGATGTTTTATTTTCAAGTGATTGTTATAACGAAAAATTTTGTAAAATTATTCCTTTTTACCTAAGTTTCTTCAATAATGTGATATTATAGATATCGCATATAATAGAGAAGAAACATCAGATATCATTTGGAAGTGTTGTTGGCCTGAGGGGCGATTTTACGGGGTCTCCCCCCTCTCTCCCTCTCTCTCTCTCTACGAAGGAAATTTTTAAGTTACAGTCGGTTTTTTGGGAATTTTGGGAAGTCAACTATTCGTTAAATTCGGAGTTTTGAGGACCTTTATTTATTGTTATTTTTTTTGGACAGGCAGTCGGCAAAATTTAAATATCCCCTTATTTCATTGGTAGAATCACCCCTGGCCTTCATGTTGGTCTATAAAATTGTTTATATATTAAATGTTACTATTTACAAAAATTGTTTTTAAAGGTACCCGCTGCTTACTTAAACTGGTATCCTCGCAAAGAATTACATGATATGTGTGTGAATAAAAAAAATGGACATCCGGAACGCCGTGTAAAAACGTTTGCTATGCTGTATTTACGCTATTGATAGAACTTTAGCATTTTTATAATCTGCTATTAGTTTAGAAGTAACAATTTTAGATTAAATTATTTAACTGTTTTTCAGTCGATAACCAAGAGGTCATAAGTCCACATTTATGTTTTTCCAATTTATTATCAATATATATTTAATTTGAATACTCAATTTTCTCGGAAACATAATGAACATACGACCTCTTGTTTCTTAGCATGTGTCTCTCGCTGATAATCATCTTACGTTGCATTTTTTACACAATACTATTTTAATAACCCATTTTATTTGTTTCTTATTTTTACTTATAGTGGTACCTATGATTTTATAGTGTTTATGGCTTTATTATAGACATAGACGTTTATACCATTTAAGCAGCAGGTATTTTTCAAATCAAGCACATATATACGGCTACTTTGATACTGGTATAAACTGCCCTAATTGGTATGTTTGTGTCATGGTGCTTTAAATATTGACATAAAACTGCTTATACCTTATTTGATATCGGCATACTTAATATGTATAGTCTTTTTGTGGTGTAAGCCGTTAGGGATTTAGAGCTTAAATATATCATAGCATATACTGTAGTATTAATAAAAATGAGAGTAAAATGGGTTTGCAATGATTGTAATATAAGATTGAAAACAAATTTATTATTTTTTTAATCAAGAAGCGACGCATAAACGCAATAGCTAATTGTGAAATTTTTTCCAATGAGTTTTAACTTTAAAGTATCTTTTAGTTTTTAATTAAATGTATTTTGTAGTAACGTAATAAATCAAAGCTTGTAATAGAGTTTTTTACCTTAATATTTTTACCTGTGATTGGCACATTTAAAGTAACACTTATTTAAACCGTAGGCCCCTTATTAAATGTGTGCGTGCGTGCGTGTGTGTGTGTGTGTGTGAATATATATATTTCTATGCACATTTTCAGTTTATTTCCGATTCCCTTTATACTGTATCATTGTATCGTCGGTAATGGTTTAAGTGTCCCTTGTCGTCGACTAATTACCGTGTTAGAAAGTTAAAACTACTAAAACCTCTACTTACTAATTTGTTTTACAAAAAGAATTAGTAAGTGGAACTAGTTTTCAGATGTTCTACTAAGGCCTAAATTGATTTCAACTTATTATAGTCTGTTATTTTTAATCAATTTAGGGTCTTCTATTGAATACGTAGGTAGGTATGGGAGTGGTGGTTATAAAACAAGTCAAATAATTGTTTTAGAACAGTTTTGATAGGTATTGCTGGAATCGAGCATTCTTAACATCAAAATGTCGGTAACGTAATTTACGTATCATGGATAAGAACTCTTGAGTACTATTACAATGTACTTGAGTACTATTTTGGGCAGGGTTGAAAAGTAATTTTTTTGTCACGGAAGGAAATTGATACACTCAATTGTATATATATAAAAACCTCAGATGGTTATCGTAACTACCTTTGAAACATGAGTAATTTGGGTTAGAGGCCCTCCGTAAAGTATGTACGCAGGAATGGTATCCTAAAAGCGTACGAGTGCTCACAACGGGATAGAAGGCTTATAGACATAAGTATGTACGCGGTTTGCCTACCTCTTCTACACTTGATTTTTTCCTAAAACATTAAATTTCACGTGTGTAACATATCAGTAGTTTATGTTTTTTAAATTTTTATAAAAATGAGAATAGAAAAAAGAAAATGAGAGATGATGTTTCCAAATAACTTCTTTTTTTTTTCGCAATATAATTTGATTAGTGTGAAGCAAAAAGACGTCAATGAAAAGCAAACTTTTTTTGAATTCTTTTTTTTTAATTACCGTTTTGTACATTACTTAGAAAAAAATTGCTTGCAGAGGGGTCTTCAAAAGCTCTCCCCTTGTACAGGTTCGTACAAGGGGAGATAAGGCTTCTAAAACACAGGTTTAACTGTGTACGTGTTTTATGGATGGCGCCTTAAAAGATATTAATTGCAGAGGTATAAATTTTCTGTTATAGGTCTTTGAAACTAGCTTCGGCCCTGATGTTTAGAACAATTTCTCATTATCAATTTCGTTCAGTGTAAACAAATATTCCTTCTGTCTTTAAGAACCATGCTTTCCCGTATTATTTAATTTAGTTATGGCCTGAAAAAGAACAAAAAATCCTACCATATATTAAAGTTATACAACTGTAAAAGCAACTTATTTTTTTTTTTTAGGTGCTTTAAGAAGTCCTAATGGCCTTGGCTCAGAGCACTGCCACAAAGAGAATAGCATTTAATAAGTTGATTCTCCGTTTCCAACCTTGCCGATAACGTTTGTGCTTTGAGCGGCGATCGAGCTTGCAACGCCCTGGGTTACGAGTCATTTGCTCTAATCACGGCGCCACGGTTGCTATAACTTTATCAAAAAGTAATACAATTGTCACGGAAGGACACCATTTTCAACTACTGTAAAATAAACTTGCTGTCTTCTGTAATGTAATTTTAAGCTGTTTAGATTCTTTAATACTAAAATATGTATTACGGTTGAAGAAAAAAGCGAATTTAAAAACTTCAATATATTTTCTTAAATAAATACTCCAATATATACTAAATGTAACAAATATATACAAACAATAACAAAAATTTAAGCTGTTTAGATTCTTTAATACTAAAATATGTATCACGGTTGTAGAAAAAAGCGAATTTAAAAACTGAAATACTTTCTTAAATAAATATTCCAATATATACTAAATATAACAAATATATACAAACAATAACAAAATAGAGAAAATAAAGAAAATATATACAACCACTTTAAATACACCTAAAAAGAGTATTTAAAGTGGTTTACGACGGTGCTTCCACCACGACCTCGACCGCGTCCACGACGCGAGTAAGGCTTAAAATCAGGCCGGTCTGCCCCATTTTGTGCCCATACTCTGTAAGCGGCCTTCGATTTGGGCCCGGGGTGAGCCAGCCGATATTCATGAAAATCTTGGCGAGTTAAATCTATAATATGTTAAATAAAATCATTTTGTGTAAAAAAGGAAAACAATATAAAACGCTCTAATCAAAGAAATATACTTTTTATTTCAATATCTTTTGAAGGTTCTAAAAAAAGAATACAAATTTTACATCTAAACGATATGGAGTATATATTATTAAGTATAATTGCTCACAAAGTTTTCGCTAAGCTGTGAAAAAAACATTTCAAAAACGTTAACAAATCGTCAGCCGAGAATCCTCGAATGTCTATTTTTTGTTTCCGAGAAAATCTAGTTTTAAATTTTAAGGTTAGAACGACTTTATGCCACGAAGTCCGACTACTTATTCAAATATTTCTTAAAATTTTATTATTCTTGAGACGAGAATTAGTGGAAACCCAACTCATTGATTGTTGAGTATTTATTGATAATAGACTAGAAAAACACGGACATTGCGCACACGGACATACGGCTTCTTGTTTCTCGGCTGACAAGATGAGTCAAGATTAGAAATAAAATATTTCTAGTTTTAAAACTTAAAATACCTGCAACATCCGCAACCAACATCTTCTCGGCCCCACCTAAATCCAAAAATGTTTAAAGTAAGTTTTTAAAGTTAAACGAATTACTTAAGAGATATATTTAAAGGTTGCCCATTACTAAGAAGTTACTGAATATTACTCAAACCAACAAAATATTTAGTACACTTTCAGCAAACAATTTTTAAATTATAAATAAACTTATCACAATTTTAATTACCAAGAATCGCTTTTCTTTTTGCTAAAAAAAAAAAATAATAATAATTCAAGCTAGTTGCAATATAAAATAGCTTAAAATTTTTAGAAATGATGTAATTTGAGTGTTAGTGAACATTATTAAGTAAATCAAGTTTATGCCAAATTCATAATTGTTACTTGGACCAATACAGAATACAGTGATTCTGTATTCTGTGACAGATGTTACACCCCCCTATACACCGGGCCCTGTTAGCAGTTATGAATTTTGTTTATCAGAAAAGAAATAACAAATACCAATCTTCTTTTTTATTGATTCTAAAAAAAAATGTTTCTGAAATTAATAGGTCTATTGCAAAATGAACAAGATAATGTCACAAATTATTAAATTGAAAAATAATAAATAACCTACCTTTTCTTGCTTGTAATTCTTTCAAAGCTAAATATTTAATATGAGTTTTTTGTTAATAGTTTAGTATAAAAGTGGCCAGACTTTTGATTGTAAAGAAGTTATGTTAATTTCGCGCGCGCGTGCGTGTGTGTCTATATATATATATATATATATATATATATATATATATATATATATATATATATATATATATATATATATATATATATATATATATATATATAATGTCTTAATACATGTTATGTCTCAATGCAACAAGATTGCATGCCAATTTCTACAAATTAACTTTTACTTTTACACATTTTACCAATCTTTACCATTAATTTAATTCACAGACTTTCTGACTACATAAAAATATCGCCCACTATGATGGCTATCTTGTATTATTATATATTATTATGAATATATAATAATACATTATATAATCATTTATATATAAACATTGTACGCTAAAATAAACAATTAATGTTCTAATTAATCATTATGTTACAATTGTAACTCTTACCGATTTCATCTTCTTCCACTCCTAGATACATAAAAAAATGTAATTTCTAGGTACTTAAATAACTAATCACATACAACATTTACAATTACTGTTACATTTACTATAATTACTGAAAGGATTACTGTTACATTTACTGTAATTACTGAATAGATTACTGTTACATTTGAATAAAAAACAGAAATAGATAAAATTTGGAGATATATAAGTATTAGTTTAGTTTCAAAATTTTAAAATGAAGAACCAAAAAAAAGGTAGATAGGCACATACGCAATTGCTTGAGTACTTCGAGGTCTAAATAAAAATAAATTAAAATAAATCTTAACAATGCCAGTTGCTTGAATTGATAAACAATTATAAAATTATATTAAAACAGTTATTATATTCATTAATACAATATTACACCTAATATAAATATTATGCCTAATTACCTTTTGAATATTCTTCATCGTCATTATCAGCTATTTATTAAAAAATAATTTTTAATTTTGAAATGGTAACTTACAGAAAAAAATAACGATTTAGTAAACAAAGAACATTTCAAGCAAAACTGATTCCCTGTAATAAAACATTGCTATTAAAAAAAAAAAAATACCAGCACAATTCTGCTCAGCAGCATCTAAAGCAGAAAATAGTAACATTTTTGATATTTGTAAACAATTTTCAACTAAAAAAAAGTTAACAAATTGGAACTAAACACAACCAAATCAAAAACATTCAAAATTTAAAAATAGCTTGATAAAAAAATATAATCAGAATAAAAACAGACTTTTTTAATTATTTTACCAATTTACCAATGGTTCTAGCCAAATATCAACCCCAGTCACTTACTAATCATCTTCTTCATTATTTTTTCTAGTTGGTATAATAATTCTTTCTAAAACCTTCATTACCTGGTCTAACAGTTTGATTCCTCTATATGAACCAAATTATAATGCGTTTCCGCTTCCTTTATAAATCTTTACCATCCAACTTTTCTTCCAATCATTTGGGATTTTACATTCATATACAATTGCATTGCAAAGATCTGACACCCACTGAACACCTACACCCCCTGAAGCTTTCAACATCTCTGCCAATAAACTAGAAGTATTAGCAGCTTTACCTAACTGAGCCTTCTGAATAGCTAATTTCACTTTATCATGTTATCAGCTCTGATGGTCCACTAACCTTATTCACTGGAGATAAACTTTTCTTTCCCCATCTAAAATCTTTATTTAGCAATATTTTTTATTTTTCAAAATGAGCCATCCACCTTGCTTTTGCAACAACTTCATTTCTAAGTATTTTACCATCTAATTCTTTAATACAGCCTTCTCCAACAACATCCTTATTTTTCCTAATCATTTGCTTTACTACTATGAACACTGCATTTTTGTTATCCTCTCTATCTAGCATCCGACCTAACGATTTCTGCTTATCTGATTAAGCTTTGTATACAGCTTGTTTTGCCTTGGGTCTACCCACACACTACAGAAGCCTGGCTTCTTCATTTCTAGACTTTTCTACATAATATCAAGTTTCCTCTTTTCTTCTACAACTTCAGCTACTTTTTCATTCCACCACCATAATTCTTTGAGCCATTGAGGACCTTTTGTTCTTCCACATACTTCATCAGAAGTATGTGGAAGAACAGAAGGTCCTTAATGACTTTCCTACATATTTTCCATATTTTCTTCTGATCTTATTTCATTTCTTGCATTAATCTTCTTTTCAAAAATTGTACGCACTCATAATCTTTTAATTTCCAAAGTTTGCACTTACTAACATAAATTTCTTTTCTTTTCTCAATTTTTTAATTCAAAATTTCTTCTTTTCACAAATAACTAATTTGTGCTATGGAATACAAGCTCTTTGTATTACCATAGATGAGTTTTTGACTTTATGAAAATCCCATAAATTTTTTTCTTTGAAAATCCCGGAAAATCCTGGAAAGTCATTTTCATGAAAATTCCGGAAAATCCCGGAAAATGACGACGGTATGGCTTCGTTGGACTTAATCATTGCGCAGTTTTGACGATGCATTTTAGACTTTGAGTGGCTGAGTAAAGATTTTTTACCTTCACTTCCATAATAAAAGTCTTTATTACATATTGTACATCGTACCTAAAACATCAAATCAAATAATATATAACTATGATGAAGTTATATATTTCAGTGTTCAGTTAGAGAATAAACTTACCGCTCCGGCTTTATTTATCTTTGTAATATAGGCTGAATAATGCTCATCATTATAGTCTTTCTCTTGAATCCAATTCCAGCGAAACTTGTTTTTAATATTTTTGTCTATCTCAGAAATGTCAGATAAACTCTTAACTTGCATTTTCTTTTCTTTCTTCTTGATAGTAATTTTTAACAAGATCTTTTGCAAACGTTTAAAACGGAATTTACATCAATTAACTTCTTAAGAAAAAGAATTTCTAATATTCGAAAAAGTTAATTTGAATGAATTAAAAAGAAAAAAATTTTTTGAAAAAATTGATCTCGTGAAAATTTCATTTATAGAAAACATAATTGCTTAAATGCAAACGTATTTAAAATTTTATATAACATTTACAAATCAATAGCAAAAAGCATCCGGAATTTCCCGGAAACTTGATGTGAATTTCCGGAATTCCGGGAAAAAACTCATCTATGTATTACTCTTATGTTACTCACCCATTTCTTGAAACCACCCGAATCATGTTATTTTCTGTTGATTTTCGTAAATTTTCATGTATTACAGTCAATATACCATAGCATCTGAAAATTTATACAACATCTCTTCTTCTGTATTTCTTATGCCAAACCCACCATGCACTCCATCAAAACCATCTGAAGCTGCACAAACATGCCTATTTAAGTCTCCACATACTATTAGCTTCTAATATTCACCAATATTCTTCAAAACATTACCTAGAACTCTTATATAGAATTCTTCTTTTTCTTCTCTCGTCCTACCTGTTTGAGGTGCGTATATTGATACTGATATATTTATAAATATATATATATATATATATATATATATATATATATATATATATATATATATACATATATATATATATATATATATATATATATATATATATATATATAATATATATATATATATATATATATATATATATATATATATATATATATATATATATATATATTAGGGTGGATCGATTTTTATAGCAAAAAAAAAAAGAAATTCAAAATCAATATTCCTGAGACACGAATCGATGTCTATTAATTATAAGATGAAAGTAAAAAAATATTTTTTGATTTTGATGAGACCTTGAGGTTCCTCTTTGGATTATAAATCCTTGACGTATCCTAATATTTTTGAACTTTTTTTTTCTAAACTATATCAACCTTGGACTAAAAAAAAGCAGAAAAAAAATGCTTGTTTTATCAATAATAATATTATTTAAAAAAAATTTTTAGTAAAAAAAATATTTTCAAAAATATACCATAAAACCCCCGTTTTGATGAAGACAGGGAGTTTTTTAATGAAAAAAAACGACATTATTTTTTTCTCTTTAGTTTTAAATTAAAACAAATATTATATTCAAAATAAGCGTATTATTATGCTTCTTCTGTGTACCAGGTTGATATAGTTTAAAAGAAAAAAAAATTTCAACAATATTAGGGTCCGTCGTAAATTTAGAATCCAAAGAGTAACCTCTGAAACTCATTTAAAATTAAATAAAAAAAAGTAAGGTTCTTTTTTCACCAAAAGACATCGATTCGCAGCTCAGGCAAATCAAAGTTCAAAAATTTTTAAAATCGATCCACCTTAATATATATATATATATATATATATATATATATATATATATATATATATATATATATATATATCTTTAGGTCATTTTTATTATACGATAAAATATGGTTAAATTTTAATAAATATATTTGATCGGAATCAGTATCTGCAACAACAACTAATGTACAATAAGTAAATTAGTCGCTATCAATCCTGATAACAATTTTAACATGAACCTTCATTTTTGGAACAATTCAATTGCTGAAAGTTTCAGGAAGGCAAACAAAAAAGCAGAACTTACATAAAAGATGTAAAAATAAGTAATTCTTACCAAGAATTTCTTTCCTTTTAGCTAAATAAAAAGACAAATTTTTTCTATAACAAAGTTATTTAGCTAAACAATGTTACGTATATAAATATGTAAAAAAAAAAAAGTTAAGATAAATTCCGAATATATAACCAACCTAATTCTTTCTGTTTGATAGCTAAAAATCATAAAATGATATTAAAAAATTATTTAACATGAATGCTATTTTAAAGAAAGACATAAAAATAGCTATTACCTATTTGTTCTTTGATAACTTCTATAAAAATAAGGCAAATAAATGAGTATATACGAATATATATATATATATATATATATATATATATATATATATATATATATATATATATATATATATATATATATATATATATATATATATAAATATATGTAAAAAATTTTTTTTACATCTAACAAACTTTCCAAGGCACAATAAATGACGCTTGTTGTGTGTATATTATTGTAACATTACAACGTTACAAACATATGCTAGCAACAAGTATAGAATTAAGTTTTATTTAATTTGATTTTACATAAATAAACAAATAACTTGTGCAAAAATCAAAAACTCTTGTAAAAAGCAGTTTAGAGGAGCAGCTTCCAGAGTTAGCCATGTTGGTTTTAGGAAAACTTTTTTCTGCTCTCGCGCTTATTTACTCCCGCTGAGGCCTGTATGTATGTATATATATATATATATATATATATATATATATATATATATATATATATATGTAGTATATATGTATGTATGTATATATATATATATATATATATATATGTAGTATGTATATATGTATGTATATATATATATATATATATATGTAGTATGTATGTATGTATGTATATATATATATATATATATATATATATATATATATATATATATATATATATATATATATGTAGTATGTATATATATATATATATATATATATATATATATATATATATATATATATATATATATATATATATATATATATATATATATATATATATATATATATAGAAGGGTTTAAATGTTTACTACTAAAAGTTTCATGCGGTTTGCAATCGTCTGATGATAATTTTCAGTAGTAAACATTCTTTGCCAAAGCAGAATAAGGAAAAATAAAATTTGTATCATTTATATGCATTTTTCAACCACATTTTAATAAATTACCTTTTGAGGGAGCTTCTTTTAAAACTAAACAAAATAAAAAGTTGAATTTAAAACATTATTGGTTTAAAAGAAAGTTTAAAACCACTATATATACATATATATATATATATATATATATATATATATATATATATATATATATATATATATATATATATATATATATATATATATATATATAACTATGTATTTATGT